AAATTCAAAACATTTATTTCTTGCATCACATGCTAGTGGTCAGTTGTATTTGTATAACRAAACATTTACTTGTGGCACTACAACACCAAGTTATCAACAAGTGAAATCTGGTGAAGGTTATACAGTATATACATGCAAAACAAAAAGCACACGAAACCCAATGTATCGTTGGTTAATTGGTGGTGACTACAACAGTATCAATGAGTTTGCATTTTCTCCGTGTAATCTTTACTTGGCAGTTGTTTCCCAAGATGGATTTCTTAGAGTATTCCATTATGATAAAATGGAATTGATTGGAATGGCTAGAAGCTATTTTGGTGGATTTTTGTGCGTTTGTTGGTCTCCTGATAGTCGGTAAATATAACAYTATATATTTTAAACTTAGACCTTATACTAGTAGACAAGTCTTTTGTATATCATAATTCATAAGCATTGTGAGTTATGGTAAGGCATAACACAGTGAATTTGCAAAATTTGATATTAGGTTTATAGGTTAATATTRTTTAGGTACTTTGAATCCACACAAAATTTAAAATGCATACAAGTCATAATATAATGCTTAGTATATGTTGAATAAAGATAATGATCTGATAATTATTAGATATTATCATTTATAGAATTTTACTTTTGGTACAGTTTTTAAAATATTGTTAAAATATTAATGTGCATGAGCACCATGCAAAAAAATAAATAGTTTTATAATAATATGTAAGTTATATAATTTTAAAATTACATTATAAACAACAAAACTTAAACTGTTATAGATTATGTATTTATGTTTAGTACGAAGTTTAATATATAATTAATATATTCGTCATCAAACATATAACTTAATACATATACAWATTGAATATTATAATTCATGATTCATAAGTGACTATAGTAATTATAAAATGCTTTATTGATTTTTAATTGTGATTTTGTACTCAAACTAATACTGAAGAATAAGATCTAAAATATTATTAAAAATTGTTTAAATATTTTTAAAAACAGCTAATATTYATACAAATTCAAAGATAAAAATATGAATTACAATTTTTAATGTTAACTTGCCAAGATATCATAAAAGATAATATATCATAAAATTTAAAAAAWTTATATTGGATATTATTTTAGTAAAACTATGAACAATATGTTATTTATTTCTAATAACTAGAGCTCAGATTTCTATCTAAAACCATGCTTTTTTGTGGATGTATAAAATATGTGAACAAATCAAAGTACTAAGAAKCTTAATTTAAAAAAAGGTATTTGTAATATAGTGTATATTATTTGTTTATGAGAAAATATATTCTCATATTTTCACATAATTTTCTAATCAAAGTATTTCCATTATCAGGAATTATTATTATTATTATCATTACTATTAACATTTGACTGTTACGATCATTTTTTGTTTATTTTATAATTTATTGAATAGTCTTAAATGCCTGAACGATTTGATAATAAAGTCTAAAAATTATTATTATTTCACATGTTATTATGATACGATTGACATATAATATTTTATAACTGTGTCAATTATCACAAGTATTGGTTTTTGATTACATAAATCTAAAATTTTTCCTCCATTGATCATAAGTAGGGCTCRGAAGTTGATGCATTTTGCATTTTTTTTTGGAACTTTTTAGACGATACTCTCCTGGCTAAAAATCTGTTTCATAAGCATGTGAATCTGAATAACTAATTTTTATTTTGCATTTTTTGGTGTTTATTACTTT